ATTAATGACGTCATAATTGCGTTTGGTAGCACTACCAGCTAGCTCCGTAAACAGTCGATAGCGCTAAATAGCGCTAATAGCATCTCCCCGAACGTACCCTATACGTCGAAGAAAGATAGAATAACATTTTCAACACGTAAGCGTCCAAAGCAAACGCAGCCCAAGTTACGTGAAAGTATTCTCTTAGTTGGTGTTAGTATTGTTACACATTAACAAATATGTCCATAGCAAATTTCAAAACAAAAGGTACAAAAAAATTGACAAGGGAAGCTATTTTTAACCTAATAGAGGCCTATAAAGAAAAAATTTGTTTATATGCGATAAATACGTCCAATTATCCTACTGAACCTGTTCAAAATGAAGCATTGAAAAAAGTGTGTGCCACTGTCTCAGTGTTTAGACCCGGAATTACAGAAAACAAATCCAATATTGAAAATACTAAAGTAAAAGCATCATTGAAATCTGGTGCTGGCACTGACGTAAATATGAAATTTTAATCTTTTGCAACTCTAACCTTTTCTAATACTTTGTATAATAATTTTGTATAAATATGTTTTATTGTTTTATGTGCAAGATTTTTTAAAAAATATTTACAGGTATACAAACCAAATCTCTGGTACTTTAAACATTTGAAATACTTGGAAACTTATTTTACACCTCGGAAAAGCAGGAATTTTAAAAAGAAGAACTCTGCAAAAAATCTATTGACTTCCACTCAGGTAAAATGTAATGATTTTTTAAATTGAAAGTTAAATAATTTGCAAATTATTACAAATTTTCATGTCTAAACTATTAAAATTTTATTTAAATAGTTTTATTTAAAAACGAGAAATTATTAATTTTTTATACTGTTTATATATTTTTTATTGTAGGAATTATTAAAGATTCGACAACTTTCTCAAGTAATTCTTAATGAATGTCAAATAAATGAGACAGAGGAAATCATAGAAGAAGAAGAAGAAGAAGAAGAAGAAAATGAAAATGTGTTTAGATACTACGTCATTTGAGGCATTAGCAGACTCAATAAAGACACTCGTAATTATAAAATCTACCGATGTGTCAACAAACAATCCTTAAAATAATCCTACAAATATGTCAGATCCTGTTGATACCTGTATGGCATTTGTGGGCTCAATATTAAAACGTTTAAAAAATGAAATATTAAAATTTGAAATAATGAATAGATTAGTTCAGACTGTTGTAAATGCTAGCACTCAAGATTTGTTTAAATAACATAAAAAGATTTCTTTAAATTACATAGTAAGCACACTATTACCACACATCTCGCGTCGTTGCAACCATTGTCGACTCCACAAACGTCGGTAATGTTGATATCGTAATTTTTGTAATTTTTCAATGATTAAAAATAATGCAATTGCATTTTTTTATGTTGCACTGCAGTGGCAATGGCCTGCTCCATGTTTAGCCAGCACTGCTGTCCACACGATAGCAAGTACGCACATCTAGTTAGCAATCCAGCAGAGAAATGGCCGGAGCACAGACTTTTGCATAAAGCATAACGCATAAGCATAAAGAAATTGATTGGTCCATTTCCTTATACATTTGCTTATGCTTATATATAGACCAATCAATTTCCTTATGCTTATGCGTTATGCTTTATGTAAAAGCTTGTGCTCTCGGCTAAAATAGTATTGTTTGCCGCGGGCTTAAGGTGCCTTTACACTGACAACCATAGGCAATCATGCCGCATGCGGCGTGCTGCTGGTTTTCAGCAATGTAGCAGCACAGTCGCATACGGCTTGCGAATTCACCCGTCAATTCAGATACGTAGTCGCATGCGGCATGATGAATTGGGATACAAATAAAACAAAGTCATTAATTGAAGAGTACCGTAAAAGACGTATTTTGTGGGATTTGCGTGATCCGAACTACAAAAACAATCGGAAGAAGATCAAGTTATGGGAAGAACTGGCTTTAAAGTTCGATTGCTCGATAAAGGAAATCAAAAGCAAAGTAAAAAACTTGAGAACGACCTTCCATAGATACAGAAAGAGGAGGATCAGGTCAGATCAGAGTGATCAGTGGGTCCACTTCGTTTCACTGCGTTTTCTTCTTAATGTTAACACACTAAGAAAGGAAATTTCAAATTATAAAGATATTAATTTTGAGGTAAGTGTTTGTATAAATTTTATTTAAAACCACTATACTAATGATCAAGCATCTTTGCTGCGTAAAATAAAAAAATAGGATACTTGTTATTATAGAAATGCAATGTTAGTTAAAAATTTGGGAAAATAATTTAAGAACAATGTAATTTATGTTTTTTTAAATCAAATTTTTTTAAAATACTTTTACCTTTAGCATAATTCTTTAGTTTTTATTCCAAATTTTATAGGGTGCGTTCACTAAAACAATGTTTAAAAGAAAAATAAAGAAAGAAATAGAAATATCTATTAATTAATTTTTAAGGATAATCTGTTTTCATTGTTCCCCCTTTTACAGAATGAGGACGACGTGGAGGACCAAGAAGTCAATGACAGCACAACACAACTGAAGGTTGAGGACGAGGCTCCATGTTCTACAGAAATTGAAATTGAGGAAAATGTGCTGCATCGATCACTGACTCTCGACAAGTCTAGAGTTCAAGAAAGAAATTCTGCTAACACTTCTTTAAATCCACATCTCCGAGCTGCCGGTAGAGAATTTGTGAAGCTCGCTTCTCAGCTAAGAAAGCATAGAAAACAAGGGATTGACAAAGATGAAGAGGCTAGAAGAGCTGATAAAGCCTACAAAATTTTCAAAAACACTTCACAGCGTGACGAATTCGCTACATTTGGGGAGCACGTGGCAAATGAAATTAGAAAACTAAATTGGACTGCGCAGACCATTGTAAAACATCACATAAACAACATTTTGTTTGATGCGGCAATGGGAAAATTTGATGCGCCGTCATCCACACACTCGGTTTCTTAGTTTTCTCCCTCGAATCAAAGTCCTCCTCAACCACTACTCCGCCTATGTTGCCTTGCATTCCACCTATTTCAACTTATCCAAAACTCCATGCAGCTCCATCAATCAGCTCTTCACTTCCTCCAAGTGAAATGCCTTCTTCGGAAATGATAGAGAAACAACAGAACAGCCTTTAGAAACTAAATCTTGGTGATTTCACTTTAGAATTGAATATGTGAAGGATTTGTATTTTTTTAATCCTAAAAATCTTTGTCCTAAAAATGGTTTTTTTAGGACTAAGATATCTTTAAGATACGCGTTATTGGGATATGATAGAAATGTAAAAAATTATAAATATTTTAATTAAATACGATTAAAATAAAAAGTGCTACAAAAATCAAATTTTTTGTGTTTTATCTTCTGATTCCTTTTATAAAAATTAATTAAAACAATTTGCATAATAATAAGTGAAAATAAGGAATAACCGCTACTATAAATATTTAAATATAAATAAGAAAAATTTGTTTTTCTAGTTAATTTTAAATTTCTAAATTCATGTATTTTAGTTATAGAAAATGTTGGTTAAGTTTTTCAGTTATTTATTTAAGTTTCACAAGGTTTTATAACTTTAAGAAAATAATGAAAAAATTTTAATGATGAGCTGCTTTCCTCATCTGTACTAGAATGTTGCCAAGTTCTTCTCGCTTCCTTTTGGCGCGAATATGTGTACCCAGCTAGAATAAAAATTAGTAATGCTAATTCTTATATGATGAATAATGAATATCGGTTACATAAATATTAACTTTGATTATATTCTTATCAAAAACAAGTTTTTTAAAATATCTTTAAAAATTTGAGAACTTTTGAATATATTGCTATCCACTTTCTATCATATCATCAATATTTTAGATATGTTAACCTATAAAGCAAATAAATTCTACACTTGAAAAACAAGAAATAATGCAGTTGATACTTACCCTTCTTTTCAAAAATTTCAGAGCACGCTTATCCTTTGACACTTTAAGCAACTCCATAGCTCGTTTCTCATAAGGAGCATGACCTGTGACCTCACGAATCAAGTCACGCACAAACTTATTATGTTTAGTGTTAATCTGCAGTGAGAAATGAAAAATAAATTAACATACACGACATAAAAAAAAAGTATATTGAGTTATTCTATATACTGTTCAACAGATTATAATGTATTGATTGCAAGAATGCAGCATGTGAAACAACAATGAGTAAATATACAATGTACTACTATTTATAGTATACCAACCCCTTTTAATCTGGATGGTCGAAGACAAACAGTTTTCCTCTTCTCAGATTTTTTTTTAGCAACTCGAATCTTAGTTGTCTTGTGGCCCTTGTTTAGACCAACGGCCAATTCGTATCTAGGAGCCATCCTGCACACACAATAGATTTTATAGGTTATCTCATCAATGGTTAGCACTAAATTTTAACATACGTTAAACACTAATTGTGTGTGAATATAATGAATTTAAAATTCAGCATAATTGCTAAGATAAATGCATCATATGGATTCATTTAGCTTCAAAGAGATTACATAAATATTTTAAGATTACAAATTTTCCAAACCTCGCTACACGGATAGGCACGCGTCAAAAGAACGTAAGCCACGCAAATTCTCCTTCAAAGTAAAGGAAGAAACAGTTTCAACGGTACCTGGTGTGAGATATTAGAACTAAAACAATCCGTGATAAGTAGCGAAATTGGCGCAAAATTCAAATCTTTGTGCGTAGTTTACTTCAGCTTCGAGAAGCGTTGCTTTTTCATCCTTAGGAAGAGTACAATCTATGTATCGTGTGCTCGATGCCTGGATGATGTCACTCGAGTGTTATCATCCGCCTGATCAACAAGAAGGTTAGGTAAGGAAAACTGTCATCATCGTTGAAGTAATTGATTTTAATTATGTTTTTAGGATTTAAAACGCGAATAACAAGTATAAACTTACAAATTTTTTGCAAAAAAAGGAAAGAAACAAAGTAGTGATTGAAGAAGAAGATACCACAAAGATGTTCTCAAGCGGGCCAAACTATACGAAACTAAAAACGCATTTGCGTTTAGCTATTAATCGATTGAAGCTGCTGGAGAAGAAGAAGACAGAGCTAGCGCAGAAAGCGCGCCGCGAGATCGCTGATTACATTGCTGCCGGCAAAACGGAGCGCGCTAAAATCCGAGTAGAGCACATCATCCGCGAGGATTACATGGTGGAAGCAATGGAACTACTAGAGATGTACTGCGATTTGTTGCTAGCACGGTTCGGTCTCATCCAACAAATGAAGTGAGTTCAGTATGTTTTTCTGACATTGTTGATAGATTCTCTGATAATACCGATATTTCCCTTGCGACATCTCCTTCATATCATTTTCAGGAATCTTGATGATGGCCTAGCAGAAGCTATATCCACTATTATTTGGGCGGCGCCTCGCATTCAAACAGATGTCCAGGAAATCAAAGTAATAGCGGACATCTTGACATCCAAATATGGCAGACAATATACAGAGGCATGCAGGGAGGAGGCAATCCAGACTATATCAGAGAAGTTAAAGCATAAAATGAGTGTACAGTCGCCTTCCAAACTGCTTGTGGAGAAATATTTAATAGAGATCGCCAAGAACTACAACGTGGAGTACGAGCCGGACCCACAAGTGATGGCAGATGGCCAAGACGCGATGTTGATAGACATAGGAGCAAACGCAGGGGAATCAAGGAACAATTTGGATACAGCTAGCGGAGGAGGAATCCCTCATCCGCTCGGTTTCATAGGTTTTCCACAGCCACCTCTGTTACCTGATTCTGGATTTCATTCTAATGTGGTAATTCAAATAACCCTTTATCCTTTGTAAAAAGACTTGATATTTTTGTAAATTTATAAAGTTGCCTAGAGACAATTTCTGTATTACTTTGTGCATCACGAAAGATATTGTTTCAGAATTCAGGAAAGGATCCTTCAACTTTGGGATTTGCATCTCCAACATCTCCACCTTCCGTTGAAAAAGATCAGAATACTGCTTTCAATCCCGCTGCGTTTTCGTATAATATACCTTTGGACAACGCCAATTCGAACAAGCCCGTGAGCAACTAGCATTTATCATCAATAGAATGATTTTATAAAATAAATTGTCTACAAAATTTTTAATTATAGGAAGAAGACTTACCACCGCCATACCGACCCGACTTTCCGCCTGACTTAAACAAACAGGTAAAGTCACACAATTTTCCTGTATCTATTAATTTTTATAGAATAATTATTAAAATGAAGTTGACATATTTACACAAAAATATAATAACGCTCTTGTAGAATTGTATTATTCTTTTGTTGCATAAATAAACCATGTGCAATTCTTTGTACAGTCGGATGAGAAGCCGAAACCACAGCCACGATCCAAAATGCCGATGAACAACTATCAACTTCCGGATCTGCCAGCAGTTCCTACAGAAAACAACGAACTACCCGCGAATCCACCCGAGAACGATGACATTGATTTCGACGACCTCATGAAGCGATTCGAGGATCTGAAGAAGAGGAAGTAGCGCTCGTCGGATACAAAAGTAATCTTGTACATCATGTAAGGAGCAGAGATTACTTCCGTTTTTATTTTCTTATTACGAAACGATACTACATTTAGTTGCAAGCCTTCCACGAAAGGATGATGTTTGAGGGGCAATTTAATATATGCTTTTGCAATATATATAGAATAATAAAAATAACCTACACAAGTACGCTTTATCTATGCGCGAAAGTCGAATTGTATAAATTGTTATAATATTAATTAATGTATAATATGTTATTTATTGTACATTTTATTACATGTTCCACGGTGTTTTGCTAGAGCTGTATATAGTCTCTTTTCAAATCATATCTTTACGAGAACAATTAATTTTCCCTACTTATGTCTTCTTATTGCTTTTTTTGTAGAACTTATCTAGTCGATTATTAAGACATCTACGTACGATGTGTCATTACTAATTATTCCAATCATCACATCTCTGCAAAAAAGTGATTACGTTATCGATACAATATTAACTTGGAGAATATGAGAATTCTATGCGCATCTTTGAGATTGATTTTCTTAGAATTCTCTCTTATGACTTTCACAACGGACAAGAAACTCGAGTCCTTAAAATCATTTCTTAAAAACTTAAGATCTATTGTCTGTCAATTTTAAATAATTATGTTGAACGTACTTCTTTTCCTTTATCAGTCAAACAGGTGAGAAGATTTTGCGAAAAGTAACAGTTGTCCTGCCTCACATTTGAACCGAGATAGTGAAAACATTCTATGATAGCTTCCTCCAAAAAGTCCTCCAGTTCCGGATTGTGTACGTTGTGTGTCACGAGTTGAGTAACCGAGTCCTGCTCGGGAAATCCTCTTTGGTCCACCTGTAAACATCAAGAAGACCAATCGACGAATCTGCCATTAAGCTCTGGATTATTTTCTATACTTACCACGTTTAATTCGTTGAAGAAACACTGGATGACGCACTACATAAATTCGTAGATTTCATTAATATCAATTATCACTAGTTTCAAGTTAAAAAATTGTAACATCCACCAATATATCTTACAGCTTGTTTACGTTCTTTGTAATTTTCAGAATTGCTGTTATGCTGCTGGTCGTAGCTCGTTCTGGCTGCTCCGTTAAAGTAGCGATTATTATTGCCACGATTGGGATACTGTGCGTTTTCCTCTGTATAGTTGAAGGAATAGCGTCGGTCGTTGCCGCTTCTCCGATCGTTCCCGCGATTTCTGAAACATTAGTCTTCACTTTTAGAAACCGGATCGGTTCTCCGACTTTTCCAAAAGTTTCCGAACTTATTTTTATAAATTATTCACGTATAGATTTACCGATTGTTATTCTGGTCTTTCCAAGACTGTGAATTGGAGTGCTTGTTGCCACCGCTGCCACTCAGGAAAAACTTCGTGTCGAATATATCGATATTCGAGGAGTCCTCACTGCTGTCCTCGTACTCGCTCGACGAGGAGTCATCGCTGTAACTATTGTCGCCACTGGACCGCTTCTTGCACACTTGCACGATTTTCCGAAATTGATCGTCTGCCTGCTGGATGCCTGATCTACATTTCAACGACTGCAAGTGTGGAAACATTCATCAAATGCGACTGACGATTGGATTCTCAAGTTATTATATTCTTTATTTCTAAAGTTTGTCAAGATGATATCAATATATAGATATAGTAAAACACAGTATTCTCTGAGTGCACTCAATTCTCTTAACACGTTTGCATTTCTATTCATGCATAAACTTCATTTCCGCGGAAAGACGTTTTCATAGAATGCAAGCTTATGAATCATTTCTCTCAGTTTTTGATTCGATAAATCGACGAAAGAAATATTCAAGTATTTTTTTGCAGTTTCAACAATACGAGTGACAGTATTGTATGCAAAACTTCTTTTTCTCTGGCAGAGTTTGTTTAAAATGCAATAGATTTTTTTCAAAATACTTACAATTGCCGACTTCACCAGCAACAAACAAACGCACAGAGCAATGAGGATCACTCTGGCCATCGTTGTATGGACCTGTTCTTGAAAATGACATTCCTCATTTCTTCACGTGTATTTATAAAGTATCATTAAAAATGCTCATATCACATAAATAAGACAGGTTGACGGATGAGTGATTGTTCACGAGACAATATACTCTTTTCTGTGGCTGGAGACACGCTTGACTGCCTTCCTTACGTAATTCTTCTAATTACTGATCGGACTACCGTGACCATTGTCACGGGTGAGTCCTTTGTGAAAGGAAATCATCGAGTTGAGAGAGAGAGAGAAGAATCCAATCAAACGGGGAAAGTGAGAGCTTCATGGAGACACAACACACGAGCCTGAACGCATTCAAGCGATCAGTTCTCCGAAAACTATCTATCGATATACAATGTATTTCAAGTGCTTCGTAAGTATTTATATTAATCGTTACGAGTACATCTTCTGCGAGAAATTTGTTTTCGATAATTTGATAATCTCTTTTATCAAGAAGAGTAACAGATTTCGCAGATATAAAGGCGATTCAATTGTGCCAGCTATTTCGTTCATCAATTGAGTCATTTTGTATTAAATCGCAAATAAAGAATTTAATTAAAAAACAGAATTAACTGGCATACTTAACTCTTACGAGTGACGAACTCATTTTTTATTATTTTTTATTATTCAATTATATTAATAAAACTAAGTTCTGAAAATAAAAGCACTTACATATGCGAGAAAATTGTACGATGTATAAAATAAAAAGCATTAAAAATACTGGATTATCCGCTGTCACGATAGAGTATTTTTTTTATATTGATACGAAATAAATTCTTTAGATAATGTCAAACTTTCTTTTAACTGATATCGCATCCCGTTAAAATGTATTCCTTGTTCAATCAATCACGTCATTTATGTCTCACTTTTCCTATTCATACTCATCATTTCTATTTTCAAGATGAACACAATTTAGTAAAACGAATTTTCGAATTTTTAATTCCTTACAAAAAAAATTACTAAAAATCTAAAAGAGAATTCGAGCATTCCTTATATTCTTCCTTGCAGCTTCTTCTTAAACTCTCTTCGCTCGCAATTATGTTGCCAGTGCATGACGATAATGTGAACGGAACAGTCGTGTCGCCATATTCAAGCCATATTTCAACGATTTATCCCGCTTTTATACCTAAAAAAATAACGAAGGAATCATCAGACGGAAGTCGAATAGAATTTCAAATAAGGAATCACCAGGGCCCGGGAACATACATATTCGGTTTCGATACAGGACATGGGTAAGCGCGCATTATATATATATCAATTGTATTACAATTGCTTAGAAGTTGACTCCGATTAACCCATTTAGCGTCACAATGCTTAATCAGAATTACTGCTCCCCGTCTTATCGTATTTTTTTCCATAAACTCGATAAAAATATAAAAAGTGAAGCAATATAGAATGTAAATCAGATCCCATAAATTACAAAAATCAAATTATAAGAAAAAAATTGGACCGATATTACTCGATTGCGAATGATAATCCTTCATTCTTTGGCAATGAATGGCATTGTGGGATTCGAGAAAGTGATCGTTGAAAATAATGATGTGTCATTCTTGTCGAAGCAAAAATCGGCAGTACAGAATGGAGGAGCGTCTTCGAGATGGGAGCGTCAAAGGTCGATACGGTTTCTACGATGCGAAGGGAAAACTCAGAGCGGTCAGTTATATCGCGGGCCCCGTCGGTGGTTATGAAGAGCGTCATCACGAAACCGTCGCTCACAAACCTGAAACTTAATGTGCATGAAACGCCTTTGTCAAATTAAACGAATTAAACGTACCAATTAAAACGTACCGATTAAGAAATGACGAATTGTTGGAACCGTACTTCGGGATATCGGATGTATGATGCTCAACGAAGTTGATCACGCAATCCAGGATTTGGGGGGAGAATACAGTACATCCGAGGCATTGTGTATAAGTTAATTTCGCCGCCTTGGGATTGAACGTTTATTTAACAATAACAATTGCTATATAAGAAAAAAATGCAACGCAAAAAAATATGTAAATGTTATATAATATACCAATAGATATATATTATATATATATGTATGTACATGTATATACTTATGTGTGTGTCCTCTGTGTATATGTATGTGTGTGTGTATGTGTATACCTTAATCCATACAGAGAAACACAATTTTCGCTGAATGGATTGCACAAAAGTGTTAATTAAATGTATATGTGTTCTTCGCTCGTCCACCCTGTGTGCTGCTCCGCTGTTTCCTTATTTTAAACACGTATCGCTCCTCTGGATCTTCGCACTCTTTCTGGAAGTCGTTCCTCGTCAACGGTCGCTTCGGCAATTATTTGTTCTTCGCATCCGCCGCGCCGTATGACGAGCCCTTACTGATTTCTGACATTCCGAGAGTTTTGTACATTAGCAGATAAACTGTAATTGAATTCGTTATCGTGAGAAACATGATCATATTCATAAAGTACAAGGATATATGTATTTTAGGATTTGTAAAAAGAAGAAGGAACGTAAGAAATAACGCTTAAACAAGAAGAGAATCAAGCGAGCAAGCATTCTGAAATTTCTCATACTCATAACACGTCTAAATTCAATAATATTTCAAAGTCTAAAATAAACAAAGAAATTAACGGAAAAAAAGAAAGACTACAAGAACCAAAGTCAAATGTCAGGGCGTGAAAAAAACTTATTATTAATCGATGTAAGGATGATCACGCGTAAACGCGCGAAATACCGCGTGTTGTTTACATGCACGATAAATCATCATCGGTTACAATCTTGTCAGTCTGAAGTCCGAAATTACATCGATAATGAACTTTCAAACGCCCCGACATACGCCCCTTTTACAGCCTTCTTTTCTTCCTATTAATTTCTCGCTTCAATGTCTAATCTTTAAAAGTATAACGATATCTTTTATTAACTAAATGCAAGCGTTAATGTAACTAATAGACTAATCGAAGATAATGATGTGTTAATGAAGAGGGAGGATGTACTACTTACATGAAAAGATAATTGCAACTCCGATGGAAAATAGGTGATCGAGCCGGATAGGAGGAGCCTTAGAAGGTAATACAGCATTGGTACAAGGACAACTACCGACCAGAATATGGTATTAATGAGGGAATAATATCTTCTCTTTAACGTGAACGTGTCTGTCCTAGGCACTCCACTTGTCGTAAAAAAATCGCCGGTCTCATAGAAGCTCTCCATCATACGATCCTATCGAATAAAGAATTCATCTAAACGCAACTGTTCGGCGCGAACTAGCAGCAGAAATCAGTTTTCGTGAGCGCTTAATTTAATCGCAATGTTTATAATTCCAGATTTGCAATGTGCAAGATACTCAAGCTACGGATATAAATCAAGTAGGCGGTGATAATATGGTTATCTTTTGTGGAACAAAGAGAATTACTCAAAGCCCCTAAATTCGATCAAGCGTCTACTTCAACTCAGATAACATCTCTATGTGTCGGTTAAAGAAAACAATTTTTTTTTTTCGGTTACACCACCGATTACGAGATTGTGTATCTCTACCAAAATCGCACAAACCTTTTCCGTCCGATGTCAAAGAGAGGTACGGTACCTTTTGCTGGTAGAGCTTGTGCAGCCATTCAGCGGCAGCCTCATCGTCCTCCGGCACCTCCTCGATGGGGATTCTTTTGACATACATATAACCCTGCTGCCGTTTCCCTAGAAGGAGATTCTTCATGGTCGGCTTCACCGGGTCAGATGGCTTGAACGCTATCTGAATATCGTAGATAGCCGTCGCTTTGCCTCTCATGTGCGGAACGCTGGCCGTGAAGCCTTTTGTGCGTGGCGTTAAATGGTACTTCAGCACCGGGAGACCTTTGTCAATAGCGAATTGCTGACTGGCTTCCAACTTCTTCGGCGTGAAGCGTGTACCCTCGGGGTAAAGCAGCAGCTGCGTGATCAACGATGATTATTTTTAGGATTGGTTAATACAATTGTACTCAAATAAAAAAAAAACAAAAACAAAATGGAAAGAGTATGCACTCACCCACATCGTGTCGGGATATTCGACCAGCTCCTTAATTTGATACTTGATTTTCTCTTTATCTTTCTCCCAACTTCTCTCAAGAAAGATGCTCTCAGCAAACTTCCATGCCCATCCCAATGTTGGAATATACTGTATCGACTTCTTGGCATATGCTTTGCAGTTCTAAAAAAAAATTGTTATTAAAAAATAGATACTTGAAAGATGTCGCCGCATGTGTATGCGAGATAATTTTTATTCATACAATTCAGGAACTTTATATTCGCGCTATGTATTTGATTAGAGATTACTTACGCCTAACAGTCTTACACGATCGCACAACAGCCAGCCTATCAACCAGTCGGTTTCGTAACTATGGTTCATCAAAAGATAGCCATGCTCATTACCGACATATTTGTCAAAGTTCTCTTTATCCATGTACAATATTAAGTCAGATCCTGCCCACCATTCTGCCATAAACACCAACTCTGAAAAAGATAAGATTCAAAACATTAAAAAATAGTATTACAAATATATGAAGAGTATAATTAAAAATGAAATAAACTTACGACAGTAAAAGGAGTAGCAGAGATAGTAATTAATCTTGCGGTAAAGATACTTAGAGCAAGGTCTCAGTCCAAAGTATAAAATGCATTGGAAGAAATTTATTATCAAGCCGGATGTAAAAAATGTAATGGCGAACATAAGATGCACCACTGTCGATTGCTTCACAGAGGTAAACACTCCCATGGTGATAAATAAATATTACTAATTTGTACGCTTTATAGAAGACATAAATGTTGCGTTTCTCTACCTGCAACAAAAGCACACGAACAAATATTTAGAACAAAAAGAACAAATTATGCGCATGATTTTCAGTTTCCTATCACTTGATATCACCTATTATAGCAATTGTCGTTGGAAAAAAAGACATTAATGTGTTAATAAATAAAATATATAAAATTAATAAAAATAATACATATAACATACATAATATATATAATTTCAGAATTATATCCATCGTGAAATATTAAACTATGTGTGCAAATATTTACAGAAATAGGTAAGAACTTGCCTGAGTGTAAGAAATTACTGCAACGTTGTTAACTCTCTGATGACTAAACATTATCATACAATTAAAGAATAAACTGCTCAATCATTGACTGGTTTATTGTCGAAACTTACTTGTACTCAGACAGTAATTTATGTATGGCAATACATAAATTTATTTACAATTATATAATTACACATATAATAAAATGCAATTATACAGAATAACATGATAAAATAAAACAACTTATAATGTATAGTGTTGTGCGACTTGTTTCTTATTATCTACAGACGCATTTCCCTTTATTTTAATATATATTCCTGATAAGTCTTGAATAGATGATTGCACAACTTTTGTTGATGATTTTTACAGACAACGCAATACTCATTTCTATATTTACTCTCTCGATTTACAGAACACATATTTAACGGATGCTGTGATACAAATTTCTTAATTCTATTACCTCAGTTCACAATATGTGCGTTTCAGCGGATAGAATAAATACAACGTGGCACTTTTGACTTTTGAATTATCCTTTCATGCTATTTCTGAGCACGACGTGTCTTTGAATAGAGACTTTCATTCGAGAATGTTGATTATTGCTCACCTAATTCAGCATTCTCGGTGACGCGTGGGACCGTGAGTGTGTATGTTGGAGTCACGCGTGCCAAGGTGTCGAGTGCGTAAGGGGAGGTCAAAGTGCGAAATTCCAAAGTTCGCTAATGGTGCGTCGATGGTGTGCTCGGTGCGTATCTCGGCGCCGTCGTTGCCTCATCAGGAGAGTCAGGATGCTTCCATGCCGTGCGCGCGAGCACGAATGAGTGGCCGTCGTTCGTGGTTAGAATGTCACGACTGAGATATCGGCAGGTTCTCAGAAAAGTGTACGATGACACGACGGCAAGATAACGTGACACGGTCAACAAATGCCTCACACTGTCATATCTCGAGCCAATGAGACTGTTATGAATGTCTAGACATGCGGCGTTACGCATCCGAACGAATGCTAGGTGCTGATCAGTGCTGATGTGTGCGTATTTTTTCGACGTATCCGTTTACATAATCACAGATACAATAATTATATAGAAGGGATATTCTGCAACCTATTTTACGATTTTGGCGCGTTCCAAAATTCATCAAAACAAAAAGTACTATCTTTTTTGCAGATAATTTCACACATGTGAAATGCGCGGCAAAGTACGCCGGATTCGATTCGATTTTTTAACGTTCTCATAGATTTATTTTTTATCCACGCTTTCTGCGTTCAAAATGAAGCAGTTGTGTATTCGAGATTTAAATTTAAAGAGAGGAAAGAAAAAAACTGTAAAGATTTGATTAAAAAAGTAAAGAAAAGAATGAAAGCGATCAAGTCAACGATTTAATAACGTACGCATATTGTATGTTAAAAATGTAAACAATGGTTTGCAAATTTTATTTCAATATTAGAGCTTAGAAAGCAACCCAAGTCTTTTTTATCGTCTGAAAAAACGGCTACGTAGTTCCACATTGGCACGATTGCGCTGCGAATCAGCACAACATTGTCTTCCGTTTACAGAGGTTGGTAGCGCTGTGCAAGTGATTCAACTCGGAGAATTTTTAAAAATCTTTAGATCTTAATGGCAGCGAAGAGTTCGGTTCTCTGCAGTTCTTCAGTAGTCGCGCCGTAAAACAGTCTGTCGTGGTCTCGTTACGCGTTCTTGTGAGAAAGACGACGAGAATACACCGGAGTGAGTAAAGCGACTGATTATGCCGATCCGTTTGTTTCAATTGCTTTTATACCGAAACAACAATCGAGTAACATTGACATTAATCGAATACTTTTGTCTATCTTCTACATGGCTCTTACGCTGACAAAGGAGAAAAAGAGCGAATTTTTATCCGCGCATTACATCGCGTCTTATTTTGTGCGTCTCTGGCATCTTGTTGTTTTTTTTGTGCAGATTAGAAAAGTAATTTTCATCGCAATAAAATTGAAGTTATATCGCGTACATAGTTGTTCGCAAAAAAATTATGCCATTTCTTCGGTAAAAAATTTTGAAATTCACCGTCTTGCGATTTCGATGTGAATTTGTACAGGAATTTTAGCATGTTCTAAAATAAAATATTAAAAAATTTGTTAAAGCTGCTTTGTGTATAATTCCTCCATATATCTTTACATATTGCGGTCTTTTGCAACTATTTAGAAATCTCGATCACTGTCTTCGATTAATTCATAAAAATATTGCCGTAAATAGGAAGCGATTAAAGATTGCATCGTTCGATTTTTTTTCTTTCCTCTTTTGATAATACTTGCGTGGTTTTTCCGACTGCTGACGCAGCTCAGTAAACGATTTTTAGTTGTAAAATATATTCCTAAAACAAATTACAAGTATTAAATAAAAAATTAATAAAATTTTTATATATTTGCAGCATTAGAAACTATGAATATTTTCGAAATATTTCGAATAATCGGCGAATTTTGTGATTTTAAATTCTTAAAGTTTGTGAAATACAAATTATTCGAAATTCTCAGTAAATTTTGAATTTTGCTCTTTCAAGAATTATATTCTAAAAGATTGTAAGGAACTCAAAATATACCAATTGTTTAAAAAATTTTTAAATTGTTTATTATTTGCATTATAAAATTATATCAGAAATCATATAAATCTTTCAAGAAAGGCTGCAATATAAAAGAGCTTTATTGTTGATTTTTAAATAATTTAAAAAATAATTACGAAATAAATAATGAATGTAATGATGAAGCCTTCACTGACAAAGAGCTATTTATGCTTTCAGCTTCTTATTTTCGCGCAGCTATCAAATTCTCACACTTTTCCGTATTTGTTGATACAAAATAAGATTGTATAGTGATAATAGAAAGATTAAGTTCAGTCCCCCGAACGTGGCAAGAGAATCTATAAAAATGACTTGTTTCACATTTGCCGATACACTTATATAAAGAACAAAACAAATCTGGTGCACTTGAAACACATGGCTCGACGGCTATAATAGACCACATGGCTCCATGAAGAAATGCTCATCTGTGTGTCTATAAATAGCTACACTCATTTCATCCCTTCATCACTTCTACACATCACAACCTTTAAGCAATTCTATCTTGTACGAAACTCATATTCTATAAACAAATTTTACTTTCATTTAACTTTTGTATTAATATCTAAATTCAGAAATTAATATATATTAAATAATCAACTTAAAATTAATGTACTTAGAAGATAAATATTAAAATATTTTTTATTTGTAAAATAGTTAATATTTAGCATATATTTCAAAATGTGAGCACAAAAGAAACCGTTTACTATGTGAAACTAAAATAATAATACCTAATCAATATAAAATTCAAAGAACCATAAGAAAAAGTGAATTTACACATTGACGCGCAATGATAAATTAAGATGCAATCAAATAAATTATTTAAATTGAAGCATTTTTATACGCTAAAGTAGATTTGTAACAGAGCACAGCATTATGTTTACGCAGCTGTCACTCATGATTAAGAATAATTTATTGCAATTGATGATTTCTCTCCACAGTTTCTTAGGGTCATCACGGATGACCTGTGCCTTTCTTATCTCGATAGCAGTGCATTCAATTAGACGCTGAGAGGAATAGAAAACATTTTGTAGTCTGTAGAAATAGTGACATTTACGTATTGTCATGGCACAACTTTATTGATTTTCTTTTGATTTGCATTAGATTTCATCATCGTCCAACATCGAACAAAATTCTTCTAGTTACACTGCCAAAAAAATACACTGTGGAATACAGATTAATAGTTCTTCTTGGATTCAAACAATAACAAGACAATGAAGCTGTCCATTCTTTTGATGCTTCTCTGTTGCTTCTGCATCAATGTTGGTTACACCAAAGATATCAGGTATGTATAATCTGTTTAATCTTCAAATCGATAGTTTGATATGATATATAAACACAATACTTACGATTTGAAATCGTTAACTAACGTGAGTTAAAATAAAATTGCTAACTCTGTATTTTCTCTGTAGATGACGTAGACTTTGCATTGTTTCTGCAAGTAAGAAATGTTATATTAATAAATTAATATATTAATAAAAAGACACACACACATACAGATAATAAAAAATATGGAATATTTTTTTACACGAAGCTTTATCACCGAGAAAATTGAGCTGCAATCGACAGTACCTTCTTTCAAAAATTCATATTTCTGTGCTTTTTCCGACAGTCACGAGGACATTAAGGATGCTATGCTGAGCTTGGTGCACATGATGCGGGAGAATACGGAGAAGCTGGAGAGACACGAAGCAAGGGAGCGGCAGATGGGCGAGCAACTGAAGAAGACCATGACAATTTTGACGAAGCGTGTGTCCGCCATCGACGGTTTGAAGGTGCAGCTGACCAAGCTGGATGAGAGAGTTTTGGGAATAGAACGTTTGATTATGCAGGTGTGATCACCAGTTACGTTTGAAATATGAGAAATAAACTTCTGGAATAAACTTCAACGATGTTCTCTTCACGCAGAAAGACGAGAGGGAACGTATACAGATGCAAAAGACCACGGACCTTCTCGAGGATCTGGAGAGCCGCCTGGAAACTTGGCTCAGGACCATTGCTGACAAGATAAGCAATCAGCAGGAAAACGCGCCTGGACTGAACAATAACGACATTCTCGACAAACTGAACAATACCGAGAGCAACCTGATCGACGAGATTGCAAGACTCAAAACTCATCTGCACAGTAATACGGCGAAGGTCGACAAGGAATCAAGCGCGCTGACGGAGAAGGCGCACAGAATCTTCTCGGAGGTGATTCATCCGCAGTAAAAAGTAATGGTTTCTTTCATGCGTGTGAAATAATTGGGAGAATGTAAGTCTGTATGAATCTTGCAGGTGCAAGATGTAGCCGCCAGAATAGGAGACATTGAGATCTCCCTGGAAAAGATAAAGCAGCTAGCGCAGAACGTTCAGGATAAACCGTCGGAACAGCAGCTGGATGCAGCTCCAGCCTTTAACGAGCACATCAGGACATTGGTGCGACTGCAAGAATTGTTGGAAGACACGTCTGACAAGATACGAGAGTTACCCAGGTTTTGTATGATTGATATTTGGTATTCTTCACAAAAATATTGAACTTTTTAGAGATCGACCATACTTTTCGATTTTCAAATTGAGTTTTTTTTTTTTATAAAGTAACATTCTGCGAAAAATCTAAAACCGTTGTAAAAAATGTCTGGTCTCAATATTCTTATTTTTTCAAGATTAATAACAATTTCACGATGCAGGTTGGACCAAGTGCAAACGTTATATAACGAGACGCAGATTGCGCTGCAGGAGACTAAGCATACGTTGAAAGACTTCCTTATACGCGGTGTCGACGATATCGGGGATCGAATAACCGAAGTGAAAGAAGAAACGAAGAATTCGGTGACAGAATTACGGTAAATCCTGACGTGTCATTCCGAACAATGACAAATGTTAAATAGGCCGTCTCCTTATGTTTTATTGAACTGCCATTTTTACATAAGGAGACAAGAGTTAGAATTAGACAGCCAAATTTAGCGTTAAATATAAATATGTTACATATATATATGTTTTTGTTTTTCACTTGCTGACGCTGTAGGATGGATCTGGCTAATAACGCGGAACGCGTCAAGCAGGACCTCGAGGATCTCGAGAAAGGTCAGTCCGTGATGGTCTCCATGGCCGATCACGTGTTGGACACGAAGAAGAGGGTGGAGTACGGCGTGCACCAGATTCTGCTGGAGGTGGGCGACTTGGTAAAGACGCAGGGTAACAACATCAACAGTACTCTCAGTCAGAGATTCGATGGAATCTCGAACGACATCATGGACAACCAGAACGGCGCCCTGGCTAATCTCACCAGCAAAATGGAGCTGGAGATGCATAAAGTAAAACAATCTCCCAAATGAACAAAAAGATATCTTTTAGATCCCTAAAAGATATCTTGCTATGTCTTGAGATGTCTTACATTTTTAACGAAAAGATATCTTTTAGGAATCTAAAAGATATCTTTTAAGAGATATTTTAAAAGATATCTTTTAAGAGATCTTTTAGATGTCTATAGATATCTTTTAGATATTCTATAAAGATATCTTCAACGAAACTTTTTTAGACATCTTTTAAATAACTTCTAGATATCTTTTAGAAATATCTTGAAGACATCTTGAATAAAATATCTTTTCGATGTCTACAAGATTTCGATGTTTACTGGGCTATCGTTCACCGAATGAAACCCTCGCCTTTAACTCGTCTTTCTTACAGGTCTGGCGACAGATCAACGTGATGTATCAGCAGATGACGGAGAGCGCTCGAGCCCTGGACAAGCTGCACCAGCAGAACGAGGCCTACGTTAACGGCACAACGTCCACCATGGGTGGAATGGAGAGCAAGGTGACGATAAGTACAATCGGATTAAAGTAGAGGTTGTTGTCGAAGTTCCTGAAGTAAGTTCGGTCCGACGATTCAACAATCGCCCATGCAATTTCGAGAATAGCCAATTATTTAAATCACGTCGCTCCGAATTGATTCACCCACACGGTTACGTCACCGCCATTTGCAAAACTAATCCGAGGAATGTCTCCACGCAGGTCGGCGAGATAACGAAACGCATGACGGAAGTGGATGAGAACTTGAACTATCTGCTGGGTCGCCTGTCCCTGGTGACGCAGGAGTTCAATCAGATCAAAACCGGCCTGGGGAACGCATTGGACAATATAAAGGCCTCCTTCAAGGTGGTGCAGGAAAAGGCGTCAGATCTGACCCATCCGGGTCCCCATCCGCTCCCGGATAATTACAAGGACCCGAACGAATCCGAGACCAGGAAACCAGATGGTAAGCCTTCGTCGGACTTCAAACACATCTTCAGCACACCTCTCAACTGACCGCGACACACGCCACAGCCTTCTGATTGAGTTACATTTATCCACATTGAGATAATATAAAGGTTCTTCCAAGCAACAGAGGGTTCTCTTGATTTTTGCAATTCTCCACATACATCCACACACCATAACACGAGCTTGAAAATCTCGTCACACCGTTGATCCTCGTTAATCTCTTCACAACTCGAACTGTTTGTTTTAGTTGTAACCGTAAAATAAGCCGCGTCCGACTCTCGGATCAAACGGCCGGCACAGATTAGCCTCGTCAGCCGGGAAAGGTAGCCATCTTCATCCTTAGTGAGTTAACATCCGGTTCAACATCATCATCTTCATCATTGTAACCGTTGGAGACGATCGCGATGCACTGTCATTCACGGCGAATACACTTACGTTCTCGATCTTCTGACGCCCACCGTCGTATCTTCACGAGTAAACCAATGAATCGGTTTATAATGATATAATTAACGATATAATATTCGTTAAAGTACGTTATACGTGTAAGAATCCAATTGCAGATGCAAATGTATACTTTTATAAAAGATAGATAAGAGTTTCATATATAGATACTTATTTTCTTTTTTGAGAGTTTTGAAAATGTAGTTTCTATATGTTGCATAAATCACATAATGCATATTTAGCACAGTATCTTCTATATATATATGTGTGTGTATGTATGGCGCGTATGTGTGTGTGTGTACTTATACATCCATCCTGGAAAACTCAAATATTGAGATATCGAAGCTGTAATAATTTTTAATTAGGAAAAATATTTAAAGTCAAAGCTACTTCAAACTTGGAGTAATTTGATTAACTCTAATATTTATATAAACACACACACAAACACGCGTGTGCGATGCGCAGAACATAAAAAAATCATAATAAAACCAAGCGCTGTAACGGAAACGATGCATTTTCTATCCCACGTTTACTGGGACTCTTAAAGTGAGAAGTCACCCTCCGAGCTGGGAACATCTATTTTAGGAACACCCTGTATGCATATTGAGTTGATCAGAAAGTTCTTTCGGATATTTTTTTTTCAATAAAAGTGAAAGGCAAAAATCCGAAGAGACTTTCTGATTAAAACAATAGTATTTAACAGTAAATTCGAATGAATGCACCAGTGCGTACTGATTAAAACCTGTTGTACATTTTATCCAATCGTAAGAAAATATGTAACATAAAACACTTTGTGTACATTTTGCTAAAAACAATTCCAAAATAATGAATTGTACTGTGTATGTTTTTTTACGTCAATTTGTGCGCGATGCTTTAATTAGTGTGCGCCGGTGCATTCAAATTCGCTGTGTGAGACACTTAATAATTAGTAATTACAACTACATAAATGCAGCTCATTTGTGTTGTAACAGTTCTTTATTTCTAAATGGTAGAAAATATTTTTACTTACGCAAGAGTGCAAAGAGGGACTGACGGAGCCTGCATGCGTTGCAATAATTAGATCCGCGTTCGCTGCGCGCAAGCAGAAGCTTACGCTTAGAAAAGAATTTTATATTTCTCTCACTGTAAGTCCATTTTTTTCTTTTTTTTTTTTGGGCAAATACAACAAGTGATCGTGATTCTTGTAACTTTTACTAACGCATCGGTAGGAGCCGATCTCCGAGAATCCAAGTTTTTTTTTTTATCTCCACGGATTCGAGATGCTAAAAAATAAAATCACAGCTAATTTGACTAAAAATTTTCAGTG